GGGGTTTGTTATGAAGGGAAATATAAGATGTTAATTTTGGGACCCAGCTTAGTGTCCACTTAATTGGGGGTCCGCTTAAAAGAGGTTTCACTGTATTGTCAAACGGTGACAGCTCCCACCATGGAAGTGTAATTTTCTTCTTGTTCTGTTTTGATTTTTAGTTACTTGGACAAACCATGCAAGGAGACATTGTTAAGAATCAAATTATACAGGTGATTACTTTTATTCTGTGTGTTTCCGTTTATGCCCTTTTGGCCAAGTATGTGGTTGAGATGTTGGGATCAAGAAACTCTACCGGGAAGGGATAGCAAAATAAACTTTTTCTTAATCCTTTAAGTCCCAATAGTGACTAATGTTAATTTTCTCCTAACGATATCCATACAATGTCAAGAGATTAGGTTATGAGAATTAATAAAATGATCACCTAAGGGAAAATGCCTTGATCTTTTGTCAAATTCTCTCAACTCATTCATGAAGGAAATGTATGGAGATCAGTTTGGAGAATTTGTATGAAGATATTGGGGTTTAAAGGGTTAACAGATGACCAAACCATTTGAACAGGCTTTTGTTTACAATAAAATGGGTGACTAATCGTTCATTGAATGAATGACCTAGCTGTTTGAACAGGCTGATGTTTCCAATAAACAGGCAGCCGAGCTTTTCAAACAGATGACCAAAGCTGTTCAAACTGAGGCAAATAATGTTCTTAACAGCTGACAAATGGTTGGTAAACAGAAAGGTGTTTGAAAATGGATACCCAGTAGTGTAGGTTTTTGGGTGAAAGCTCTCAAATCAAAAGCATTGAGTGCATGCTATTGAAACTGGCCTTCATTCTTTTAGTGAGAGTTTAGCCAGGTATGGCAAGTCTCCATATCTGTACCCTCTGTATGGCCTTGGTGAGCTACCTCAAGGATTTGCAAGGCTGAGTGCAATTTATGGTGGAACATACATGTTGGATAAGCCGGTGGAGGAGATTGTTTATGATGAAAATGGGCAAGTTTGTGGTGTCAAGTCACAGGGAGAAACTGCCAAGACCAAGATGGTGATTGCTGATCCTTCATATTTCCCAGACAAAGTGAAAAAAGTTGGACAGGTAAATAAAATGTCAAAATAATATATTTTTAGCAGAACCCCATAGTATTACCTAAGAAAATTTGGTAATCTATCCATCTGAGAAATTTCAGTTATCAGGGTGCAAAGAAAGTCAGTTTTACAGCCTGCCATTCGGGCAAGCTGTAGCTAGCATGTACTAGCCCACAAGTCATTTCAACTAGCCGCGAAACCCTTTTTGATTAGCAGGATTGATTACAATCCGTCTGTACTTTGAATTTCCCAAAAAAATTCACTTGCCTGTCGGGCAAGTTAAGAACAGAATCCACTAGCCCAAAACCAAAATCCGCTAGCCCCGGGCCATCGGATACAACTTTCTTTGCACGCTAAGTTATCACGTGACTGTCCGCCTGTCCACCCTTCCGCACCACAGGGGAGCCAATGTGAATTTTCAAACTTTCTAACTAATGTGGGGGCCTGTAACCTGGGTTAAAGGTTGATAATAGACATCCATTATTATGGTCAATTGACAGCTGTCAAAATAGGGTATCTGCTGAGCAGAGTCACATGACCGTATTGCGGGTTCAGGTGCCAACTCATTGAGGTCACATGTTTTTTGAAGTTTTTTGACAAGAAGTTGTTAGTTTTTAATTGATGGCAAGCTCAGTCATGTTACCATTACGAATCACCTTGTACAACATAATACATGATCACAATTAAGATGTTATGCAAAGTCTCAAATGTGAGAACCTCTTTTCTAACTTATACATTTTTCCATAATGTTTTATTTGAAGGTGGTTCGTTGCATATGTATAATGGACCATCCTGTTCCAAACCTTCCTGTTAAAGATCAAACATCATGCCAAATAATCATCCCTCAAAGTGCTGTGGATAGGAAATCAGGTACTGTTTTGAATTTTCTTGTTCCATCATCATGAAATTATTACGGGTGACAAGAGGAGCCCACAATCCTAATCTCCAGGTTGTTATTATGCATACGTCGCATGTATGTAGACAGCAATCGTTTGGACTTCCACTAAGAATGAATGGAATGCACAAAATGCAATTTGATCATGCACGTTTCGACCTTCTACCCCGCGTTATCTGATCACGCATGTTTTGACTATCTGTCAAGTGAAACGTACCCAAAAGCACAGCGTTGGAGCAAAAGTGTTTGACTGCGTTTGGACGTCCAATCGTTGTTGCCCACACTCGATAACCTTTGGTTGTTACTAGTTGTAATAAATAATTCAGGTAAACTTCCGCTTATAAGCTTTGGACTTATACAACGTTGTAAGGAGTTTTTTAGCCCGCAAAGGCAGATGTATTTTCGTTGTCACTTCTCTCTACCTGAAAGGGAAATCTGTCTGCTGCACAGGCTAGTGTTAGAAGGCAAGGAGTTTTATGAGGGCTTAAAAACTTACGCAAGGTTCTGATTTGATGGGGAAAGCTTTGGCATCGCAGATAGGTGGTGGCAGCAGCTAATGGGAGGTAATCGTTTACGAGAAGTGGTCACCCATGAAGGTTCAGCGCCATTAGAAGTTGTTCCAGCTGTGGTACAGTAAAATGCCACAAAGAAGTACCTAAATTTTTTGAAGTTTGGCAAAATAGATTTTTATAGTTTGGAGTACTTATTGGAAGTTTAGGCTAAATAGGTTCCTAATTAGGTTCTTAATTTTTATGAAGAAGGATACTGTTGCTGATTACAAGAAATTGCTATCAATGGTATTGGTCCTTCATAATATGCATTTATTTGCCAAAAATCTAACAAAACTAGGTTAACAGTTATGCAGTTTTCAACAGTCGTTGTAAACATTATACATTTATTATATAATGTAATATAAATTTCCCATATTAAAGCCAGACTTTTGGTCAAAATGTTTATGAAAATGTAGTCTAACCCCACATATAAGAACCTGTTGATTTTGTTGGCTAAACTGGTTCTTATATTTTGGAGTTTTAAAATGACAAATTTCTGCCAGCAGGTTCTTAAATCCTAGCTTCTTCGCAGCAGCATTTTAATTACTGTATCAATCAGTTACTGTGTTGTCTGGTCATGGCTATAATGATTTGTGGCAGAATCATGGTTATGTTTCTGTTTGTGGTTGTTAATAAGGACTTATAAAATTGAGGCTTTTTATTTGTTTGTTTTTTTAATGTACTTTTTCAGATATCTACGTTTGCGTTGTATCATTCACACATAATGTTGCTGCAAAAGGCTTCTACATAGCCATTGTGAGCACAAAGGTTGAGACCAGTAATCCTTTACAAGAACTCAAACCTGGACTGGATCTCCTTGGAGAAGTTAAAGAAAAGTGAGTAGATTTTCCAAGAATAGATAAAATTAACTGGAATTTGTAAGTAGTAATGTTGCGAGTAATGTTGTGTTGTAAGTATAATGCTGCTGGTAGTAAAACATCATCTGAGAAACAATGGACTGAAATACACACTCTGCTAATAGGCCAGTCTGGATATATTAACATCCATACTTGGCTACGTACGAGGCTCTGGGAAATAAAACGAAAGAAATGAATACTATTATTTATTGCTGAGCATCAAGAGGATTTTTTTTTCCTGTAAGCCTCCTATGTCCTTCTATTGGGTCAGTTAATGGTTGTAGGATAAAGTACTACAACAGAGTCCTACAATGTAGAGTTCTTTGTGATTTGGGTCTTTATTGGGCAGTTTACAGCCTGCCATACAAAAACAACTTAAAACTGTTTGCGCATACCACAATTTGCGAAACTTAGCACAATTAGACGTGGCAAACATAAACACCGAAAAAGCAACAGGACACCCAAGGCGATCTACAGACATGTTAGTGAGCTGCTCACCTGGGGGCTTGCACCAATAAAAAATTAATAGATAAAATAGGATAGGATTTTAGACTTGAAAGCACGTGCCAGCATGGTGTTACTGGTGATTTGTGGAGCTAGAAATGACGTAATATTAATAAGAAAGTTGAGGGAGTCAAACTACTGGCGACACTTTGCCCTCTGATCAGGCTGATAAAATAATTAGCCAACATTTTGCAACGCCAATACTGGTTTCACCATGAAATGACACCTGAGGAAAGGGCACAGAAACTCCATACTGATGATGCATCACCACCCAGATCTGTGCTTCTGATTGGTCATGGCTCGAGGAAGGTTTGCATCAACCCATCAGAAGTACTAGCCAGATCCTGGCTAGTGACATGTCATCAGTATGGAGTTTCTGCATTTGTTTGGCAGCGAAACTTGGAAGGAGATTGTCCAATCACAACATTATTTCTGAAATTTAAAGTTTCTCAAGTTTTGTTCGCAAAGGGACCAATAACTTTGAGGGCTGTTTCTTGAGAGCTCTCATAAATTCAAACGGTTTTAAAGCTTTCAGTGGTTTCAAAGTTGAATTCTTGAATTTTATTGGTCCATAGGCAAAAAAACTTGAGAATCTTTTGTTTTCAGAAAAAAAGTTGTGAGTGGACAATCTTCTTCCAAGTGTCTCGGTTTGAGTGTCCGCACTGTAATAGTGTCCAAGTGTCTTGGTTTGAGTGTCAAAACTGAAATACTCTCCTAGTGTCTCAGTTTGAGTGTCCGCACTGTAATAGTGTCCAAGTGTCTTGGTTTGAGTGTCCACTCTGTAGTAGTGTCCAAGTGTCTTGGTTTGAGTGTCTGCACTGTAATAGTGTCCAAGTGTCTTGGTTTGAGTGTCCGCACTGTGATAGTGTCCAAGTGTCTTGGTTTGAGTGTCTGCACTGTAATAGAGTCCAAGTGTCTCGGTTTGAGTGTCCACACTGACACTAGATGATCTTTATAAATTTTGTGGTTAGCAGTGTTAAAGTGCAAGAATAAAGTGAAGCAAAACAAATGACTATAAGTCTATTTGGTTAAAAATTGCGATTGCTTTTGATGGTATGTACTGTTTACTAAAGAAGATTTTAATTTTTTTGTCTCCTTTCAGATTCGTATCAGTGAAGGACACTTTGGTTCCAACTGATGAAGGAGAAAAGTCAAAGGTTAGTTCTTAAGGGCTGTTTACATGGAGGGGGATCCGAAAGTGTTAGCTACCCTTATGGATCCTGTAGAAAGTTTGAGGACATGAAGAAGCCTTGCTTTCATTAGAAAAATATTGGGGTCGTGTGGTCTCTATACCGAATTATTTAGGAGTCCTTTTTTGACAATAATCACAATACCTTGGTATTAAAATGTGAATAACACAACCTCCGAAAACCGTATTTAAGCTATTAGAAAACCTCCCAACATTTCAGACAAATGAACGGTTATCTAGGAATTTTTAGCTTTTCTCAAGCTTTAGAAATTTCAAGGCAATATTTGCTCCTTCGAACAGTTATTTTACAGAAACAAGTCGCTGGGTGTCCCTGAGAGGTTGGACGGTATATTTTTCTCTTTTGTATGCCGAATGACGCACGTGAATTCTCTAAAATGTTATTGAATGTTGATTAAAATGCTAGAAAAAGAACGTTATGGAATGTGATTTAAGCACAATGTTCGTTTTTTCTCGCTAATGAATGTACCTTCGCGTTATCTGCCACCATTTTACGAAGCTGAATGCGTGTTGTCTCGTAATTAACAGAGAAAGGTATAGTACGTTTATTAGTGATACACTTACCATAAGGACAATATTGTTAGCCAATGTTAACCAATGTGAATTGTACCCAGGTTTTTATCACAACTACATATGATGCCACCACCCACTTCCAGACTACTTGTTCCGACATATTGGATGTTTATAAGCGATGTACTGNGTTGTCTCGTAATTAACAGAGAAAGGTATAGTACGTTTATTAGTGATACACTTACCATAAGGACAATATTGTTAGCCAATGTTAACCAATGTGAATTGTACCCAGGTTTTTATCACAACTACATATGATGCCACCACCCACTTCCAGACTACTTGTTCCGACATATTGGATGTTTATAAGCGATGTACTGGAGAAGACGTTGACTTCTCTAAAGTCCAACAAGACGTAACAACGGTCGGTGAACAATGATGAGTACTGAGAGTGTTTTGGATCATTTGCAAAGTTAAAAAAGGCGAAAATTTTATCAAGTTATTTCAATTCTTTGTGAAGAAAAGTTTGATCTGTCAAGAAAGATTGGTAGTCTAGAACTGAATGACACATTTGATGTCAAACTAATTCCGGGCAGAGCAATAGGCCTCTTCCGAGTCGCCTCAAGCCTCTGTTTCAAAGCGAGGCTTAGTGCGAAGCCACAGATTTGCAATATTGATGTTTCATTCGCACGCAAATAACTCATTTTCATTACAAAGGACAAAGGTTTTGCGCTTAGCCTCGTTTTGAAAGTGAAAGTTCTTGGAATTTGGAAATAGCCCATTACTCGAGTCAGTTTTTCTGTTAACTTGCGGAGCCATATTTTTGATTTTGTCGACACAAGATAGCTTGCATTAAGGTTATCATCTCCTGAAATTTTACACTAGTAAAACTGCTATGCAATATTCTTAGAAAACGGAGCGTAAAGGGGTGTTTACCATTTGAGAGAAAAATCTGGTTAGGTTAGCCACTGAGATGATGATAAGCGTTTTATAGCTAATCTCGTAACTTCCTTTTTCGATTCGGTTTGAAGTTTTAACATGCACGAAAAAGGACCCGAGAAAGTGAGAGAAGGGGGAAGCGACATTCCGTTGGTTTCCTACCAAGCAGACTAACAGGAGTTCCTCAAATCGTACACCGTTAAAGGGCTGTGCCCGAAATTTATTAAAATGCCAACGACAGCAACTGCCAACAAATTAAAGAGAAACAAAAAAATAATCGTTCAGTTAATATGTAGGCACAGATGGCCAAATCTGGGAATTTGCCCACCTACCCCTCCCCTAAGCCAACAATTAACACTTACTTCTCACTTAGGGCAAATTGTTGGGTTAGGGGAGGGATAGGTGGGCAGTTTGTAATCTCTTCGTTAACGTTGAATTCCATAGCGCATGAGGAAAGCACAATTGGCAATATTAAGAAAAATGAACGAGACGGCCGTGGCACTGCAGCCCCTTCAGTGTTGGTTGGAATGTCTGGAAAATCCCCCCCCCCCACCCCCCCAAGTTACCTCCCTTTCGAAATTTTCGACATTTTTTTGCGAAATGGTAAGCACCCGAATGTATGTTAGAATTTGTTTTTGGCCCACAGTGCTCAAATCGATATTTAGTTTCAAAATCGCAGGGCAAAATTGTGTTTGCAATTGTGTCTTGATTTTATGGATTTTCTCTGTAGTATGTACGTGTTCTGTTCAAGAAGTAAAGAAGTAGGTAGATAATATCTGGCCACTGATTCATACCATTCACGGTCAAATGCAGGGGCGGATCCAGTATTCTTTTTAGGAGGGGGTGCACTCGTCGGTTGCTCTACTTCAACACCAATAGACCACATAGTTTTTTTTGCAGAATACCAGTTGTATTAGAAAACCGCAGGTCATCTCGGCGGGGGGGGGGGGGGGG